TCAATTTATATTTTATTTTTGTTAGTTTACATCTAAATAATAAGAAAAACATGTTTTTCTCATAAATGCGTCAATTTTTTTTCAGAATTAAGTCCGATCCCCAAATGGCTGGATCATGGCTGATACTATCTACTTTTAATGCCAGCGTTCAAAACAGTCTACGTGTAATCTAACATTACATTTTCCACATTATTTTCTTGCATTTGTTTTGCACACTGCACATTTTCTTTGTTTACCATTTTCGGTCCGTTCAATATAATGATTACCAGGTGTTCTGATAACAGAAGGAACACGATTAATTGATGCTTTAGTGAAAGAATTCTTTCCACCCTTTTTTGCATCTGAGAGTTCTGAAGATAAAGCAAGACATCCTCTAGGAACCATCCTCCTAAAATCTAACAATGGAATTTTATCATTTGAAATACAATACAGTGCGTGGGCGTTAACCAGTGTTACGTTGATGGCATTAGTAAGCAAAGGAAAATATCATTTCCCCCCCTTATTCTGATTCTGTATTTTTGAACATTCCAGTCCATCTTGTCTACTCCACCCATGTATCTGTTATATTCTGATATCAGTTTGGGTTGTGGTACTTAAATATCTTTCTTCTCTATTCTACTCCATCGCTTCATCTCTGATATTGGTTTGATAGTTTCATGATTAGATAGAAGCCTTACACGACTGTTGTCATTCCACGTGACAGCTAAAGTTTCATTACGGGAATCAAATCTGTAGTCATATGCCCCACGTTCTTTATTCCTTATATCTTTGTCTGTTGCAATAGGACATTTGTTCAGTCTGTTGAATCGAACAGTTCCTGTTGCTCTAACGCCAATGTCCTGCAAATGTTTCATCAGAGAAAATCCTGTGAAAAAAATTGTCGAAGTAAACTTTATGAGCATTTGGTGTCTGAAGAATAGATATCATCTAAAGGACAACAGATGTCCCAAGCCCACTGATGCTTTCATCATCTCCTAATTTCTTTGATTTGCCTTCATACACTTGAGTCTGATAACAATATCCAGTCTGTGAACAACAGATAGCCCATTGTTTGAACCCAAACCTGCACTGGCTTACCACGTATAAATTGTTTGAGGTAGTGATGTCCATAGTAACGAACCATTTGTTCGTCAATGCTCAAACTTTGAAAACACCCGAAATTGAAAACAACCCCCAAATTGTTGAAATTTGTCATTCAGCTTGTCAATCAATGGGCGAATCTTGAAGAAGACATCACGTTCACCTAGTGGAATCATTTCTAAATTGGAATTGTCACTGATATGCAGATACCGTTTAATTTCCAGATACCTATTCCGACTCATGCATGCTCTAACATACAGAATGTTCATGTCTTCATCTTCACACCAATATAATTGTTCTTGCAGAAGTGAATGACAACTAGTGAAAAGAAGTATTCGAATAAATGCTTTTAGGCAGTTATTAGAAAGCTGAAATTAATGATTGTTTTTTTGTCTGGCATGTATTACAGACTGCTGGACAATATAGGTGACAGTTTAATTATCAAAAAGTATTTCAAAACACTCTACTGGGAATTTTGCCCTGAGTTTTCTAATGACATCATTTTGCCTTGTCTCTATAACGTCAGAATTTTCATATAGTTTCGAGTACTTAGGTTGCTTCTTTTTCCAATTGGAAGTCAGTACTTCTTTTCTCTTTTTAGCAGGTGGTAAGTCAGTTTTTTTTTTTTTTTTTTACAATTTTAGCAGTATCAGCCATGATCCCCAAATGGGGATCGATATATCTAGGTTGATTGTACCCATCCAAATTACAGTATGAGGATAAATAATATATAAATACATTAATTACTTACCAATGATCAAGGGAAATTCAGTACAACAAAAATAATTGTTCCTAAGTAACTTTTTTGTGCTTTGAAAGTAACCGTATTATTTTTCTCGTGAAAAGTAATGAGAGAGCAAGAAAAATAAATTCGTGAGCTCAACTAACCGAGTCCACGTGTTTGTTTAAGATTTCTACCCTTAATTGCAATTTTCAGGAAAGCATGACCACCAGTAAGGGACCACCCAGGTGCAGCATGATGTCACAAAGTATACAAATGTAGACGATCCCCATATGGCAGGGAATTGGTTAACTAATTGTGGATAAAATAATCTTGAGGACTTGACACAAATTGGAAGACAAATTATTTTTAGTGATATGCTAAAGGAGAAAGCTTTTGTAATTAATTTTTATCATGAGTGTAACACACTAATAGTTCATGTTTAAAATAATTAAGCTTATTTATTTGGGGCATTTTTGAATCCCATTTTTTTTTAAGAATTTTATCTAAAAAAAGTATTTTTAACTGTAGAAATATATTTATAGTCTTCTTTAAACAATGCATTGCTCAAATTAAACTTTAACTATTTGTGCTTGAACTTTTTCTCTGGGACAGCATACATAAGCAAAATTTGACAATGAACCTTAAGAGAATCTCTCTCTCTCTCTCTCTCTCTCTATATATATATATATATAATTACAAAACAATTATTTTGAAAACAAAACACAAACATGCCAAGTTATTTTCGTGCATTAAGTTGCAGAAAAATTATCATTAAAAACATAAAGTAAGAAATTTAGAACTAATATTTCACAAAGACCAGAAATTGAAATTCATAATTAATAAATTTCAAGTAAACATTTGTATATATACATGTATGTATGTATGCTTTCAAAAACCAAATACTTTAAATTAAGAGGATGGGGAATAATAATTTGGCCTTGAACTTGGGAAAAAAAATTAAACATACCTAAAATTTTTAAATAGAAAAGAAGTATTTATTGATCACATAAATTCTTATTCCTTTGAGAAAGTTATTTAAATTTTATTTATTAGAAAGTTATTTAAATTAATAAAATTAAAACTTGGGACATTATGATAGATTATAATTTTTTCCCAAAGAAGGTCTTAACCAGATCTTCTTCAATAAAAGCTGCAATCCAAAAGGAGTACATGTAAAATTAAAAAACTTCAGATGCATATAAAAAACGGAAAACAAAATAAAATAGAACAAAAAACTGTGTATTAATCTCTTTTGTTCAATGCTTCAAACAGAACTTGTCAAGGGGAAAATGTTTTGAAGCCAAGTTGATTAATGAGTTCAAATACATGTTTTGTTTGTCTGAATCATTTGAGACTCAAAATCGCTATATTCGAATTAAATCTTCACTGTAAAACAACATTTTAGTGACTCTCAAATGCTCAGACGTTTTTATATTTGGATATTTAAACACATGTTTTCTGTACAGTAAAATTCATAGTTAAGCAATGCATCTGCTGTCATACTTCAATCAGTTATTTTAGTGATTACTGTGTAGAACTGTATGCATGGAGGCTTACAAAACTTCATGTATCAAGTAAAATTACATAACTTTATAAAATATCAGATAGCATGGCTGAATGTTTTATGGAATATGTGTATGTTCTAGCTGCTAAAGTTACTTAATATTTGATGATATTTGATTTCAGTAGAAGAGATACTGAGAAGTTCAAGATGTTCAGAGTCTTCTATTTGTTATATGCATTTTCATGTATTCTGTGTTCTGTGTAATGAGTGAATAACAGCTTTTTAATATTTTTGGATGTGAACTCTGACTATTCTTGGTGATATCCACATCAAATATTAGGCTTTAGAAGTCTGAATCTGATATTTTTGTGTTATCTATTACTAGTCAAGAGTTAATCGAATCATAAAAGTATACCTGATGAATTTCATATATTCTGAATTTTTTCAGAAAAGGTAAAAAAGTTTTAAGAATCTTACAAAAGGAATATTAATGTATGTGTTACAAAAGTAATAATGAAATAGTTATAAATTTTAAAGTGTAAATATTATAAAGATCCATAATGTAATTGTAATATATTCAGGAGCAAGAATTTTGATGGCGTAGAAGTGTTGATCCATAATAACTAGGAAATTGAAGGCGAAGGCAGATTAAATCCTCAGTTTTATTTTCAGCAACATGTTGCGGCTACACACAAGTTGGCACATTAAATGTGCCTGTTCCAAGGTCTTACAATTTGTGATAGATTTGCAGCAAAAAAAGAAGACATTGGGTGAATATGTAAGAAAAATAAAGAATATGTAAAAGATTAAATTAACAGCATAAATTAATTTTCCTTCTCTATTCTAAAAATAGCAACATCTATTTGCACTGCGTCATTTCAAAATTAATCTGCATTGTAAGGTCTTAAGTAATAATGCAAGGCAGATGATTTTTCTCCAATCAGATTAATGATTTCTCTCTGAAACCGAAACTTTTTTACTCTATATCCCACCCTTCTCTGCATCATTCATTGTCTGAAGATGCAAGTTGCCAAAAATAAAATGTGGTGCATATTGCACGGATAATGATGCGTGAATCGGATATTACGTCTCAAGACTTGCTTTATCAAGAAATAAACTTATATCTATAAGTGCAAGATAAAAAATGTGGAAATCAAAATTGTAAGTTTGATTAGCAGTGGCCCTTAATTCTCCCTCTCTATTCTAAAATCGTAGTGGCTTTTCTTGATTGGGTCATTTATAGATTGGTCTATATATCATATGGCTTGTAAGGCGCTGGTGGCGTGGCTGCTTTGGAGCCTGGGCTCGGAATTTGGGGGGCTAAAGCCTTTCTGATCTTACCTGGGACCTGTCTTATTGGGCCTTCATGTTAGATGTAAAGCAGAAGCACTTTTGCTTCAGCTTTTTTACAGTCAAGACGCTATTTCACTTTGACAAGCTGTTAATTACACCATTATCTAAAATGTGAAACTGTATAAAATTGTGGGGTGCATATTGCGCCTATGATCATGTGTGACAGTAAATATGTTTTCGATAACTAGTTAGTGTCCAGCAATAAGAATTATATTCAATTTGGCAGTGTCTGTCTGCAAGTCTTTCCGACTTATACACCAGGGAATCATTGTCAATCCGTTGCAGCTTTCTTCAGTCATCATATTACATATATATATTTACATGTGGTACATTTGGTAGGTTGATCCTTTGGTAAGTCTTATGATGGTTGAAAAAGTTCCTGATTCTACATATGAAATGGTTGGAGGTCTTGACAAGCAGATAAAAGAAATAAAAGAAGTGATTGAGCTTCCTGTGAAGCATCCAGAACTTTTTGAGGCCCTTGGAATAGCTCAACCAAAAGTATGTGTCATGTTGTATTTTTATAGATTTTTTATCATGTAATTTATGTAGTTATTAAAATTTATGTTGCTTTAATTTATGGTAAATGCAAACTTAGCTATTATCATAACAAATGTTCTGCTTACTGAAAAACAGGTATAAAAAAGCAAATTATCATATAATTTAGATAGTTATTAAATTTTGTGTTGCTTTAATTTACAATCAATGTAGTAAGTAGCTATCACATATCTGGATATTAAAAGACAGATATAAAAAAAGTAATTACATTCTTTTAATATAAAATTGGCCACAACAAATATTTTGATGAAATTTGATTACATTTAAAATTAATTTGGAAATTATTAGAAAACATTGTGGCAACCTTTAATAATTAATAGGGAGCAGAATAAATAACAATTATTTAACAGTAACATTTATTTATATTTAACATAAAATAATATATATTTAGTGTTGGAGAGAAGTATGGTTAATATTTTAAAGAATGAATTATTAATGAAAAAATGAATAATATCATGAAGCACCTAATGCTTATTTTTATATTGATGGGAAGTTATTCTGTTATTGGTTATTCTGTTAGAATGTCACAGGGCTCCCTTTAAGTTTTTGTACTCTATCAAATTTGGTTGCTTAAATTGTATACTTGATTTTTATTATGTGCTATATTATGATAGGGTGTTCTTCTTTATGGTCCACCTGGAACAGGCAAAACTTTGTTGGCAAGGGCAGTTGCTCATCACACTGACTGTACATTTATAAGAGTATCTGGATCTGAACTTGTCCAAAAATTTATAGGTGAAGGTTCTCGAATGGTGAGAGAGCTTTTTGTTATGGCAAGGTATTAAATCATATTCGTAATTTTCATATAAAAATTTGTTCTTATGTTATTAAATAGGTGTATAGGTTTGTTAATATTAAAGAATAATTTATTTTGAAGGTAATGAAAGTTGCACTTATTTTAGTAAATATAAGAAATGTTAATAGTGCATCTTAGATTTACACTATTTTTCTTTGTTACCTGTGAAAAAGACATTTCAAATATTAAAGTTGGAATTCTCATCTAATATTATAATTTGACTTAATTCCTTCGTATTTTAAATTAAAAAAGAACTTTTTGTTGTTAAATAGTATAAATACTGGATTTATTAGGTACTTTTCTTATTTAAAAAATAATTTTTAAATTACACATTGTAATTATCTTTTGTGGTAAAGATTTAACCTTCATAAAAATGAAACTTCATATCTTTGACTTTAAAAGAAATTTGAATTTTTCCCTAGAAATTTGATTTTATTTTTAAAAATAATGCAGTATTAAAATAACAACTGGTTGTATTAAGCTAAGTTACTATTTTTAATATCATATTTAAAATATAAAGAGATTATGAGTGAAATAGCATTTGAATTTTCAATAGCATGTTTAAAATTAATGATGTATATTACATGTTGAAGTGTTTTTTATATGATTAAGAAGTCTTTTTTTTTATATTTATAGTTTGGTATTTAACTAGATTTTTTTTGTACATTTTAATATAGAGAACATGCACCGTCAATAATATTTATGGATGAAATAGACTCGATAGGATCTTCTAGAATTGATGCAGGTTCAGGAGGTGACAGTGAAGTACAAAGAACAATGCTTGAACTTTTAAATCAGTTAGATGGTTTTGAAGCTACAAAAAACATTAAGGTACCTTTAAGGTTTTTTTTTTTCCTGTATATTATATTTAATTGAAATATATATTAAAATAATTATAAAACATGTGTGAGCTGTAATGTTATTCACAAAAACTGTTACTGTATACATTGTTTTGTATTGTGTATAGCAGTGTTTCACAATCTGTGGTGCTTGAAGCTTGCACTTGTGGTCTTTCTAGATTTTCTAATATTACATACTTTTTTCCTAACACTGACATTTTATGAAATTTATCGCCGTTGTCCTATTTGTGGACTTCTCAGTGTTGTTTTGTCAACAAAAGGAGGATTTAAAAGATCTATGATTATAGTGCTTCTAGTTACAATTTGCTACAAACTAGTGAAAATGGAGTGCAGCGAACTGTACAGTTGCATTTTAAAAATTATATATACAGTACAAAGTCCGTAATCCGGACTCTTTGGCAATTCCGGATTAGGGGTTTTTCCGGATTATAGATCATCAATTTAAATCTAGTGCGATGGCATGCAGAAATTATACAATTAAAAATATGAAACCGTAATTTATGAAATAAAGAGCAATTATGATCTAAAGGGTATGAAAATTTACCCAAAAAAAAAAGCTTAATATTTATTTGTTGACTTTATTAAACATTCCTTTCAATGTAAGTTGTTTAAGTTGCTTCGTTTTTTGTGCTAATACTTTCTCTTTAATTCTATAAACAGGCATAATTTCTTGTTTAGTTACAAAGTTCCACTGATCAAGCCCTGTAATTGCTGTGCCGAGAATACCGCTAACTTGTCAATCGAAATTTTTTCATCTTCAGTAACCTCTCTGTCACTTTCTTCACTATTGGAAGTGTGCATGGGTAAACGCTTTACGCTCATGCGCATGCTTCAAAAACGCTTGCGTAAGTTTGTGGCTGTGAGGTCCAGATTATAGATCATTCCAGATAATGGACGTCCATATTACGGACTTTGTACTGTAGTTTGCTTTTATGTATCTGAGTGAGAAAGGGTTTTCATCACTATTTTAAACAAGGGCATTTCGGTAATTCAAATAAATATTGAAATCGATGTATTATTCACCGATCTTTCACCTAAGCTTGCCAGCATACATCCAAATATAGGAACAGCTGTGCTAGAATTGGCATGCTCATCCATCTCATAAATGTGAATACTGTTTATTTAATTTGATCCAGTAAATTGGGTGCTTCTTTAGGAGTTTCTGTATTATCTGCTGTAACTGTGTCCTTATGAAGGAGTTTTTATTCTAATCTTCAGTGATTGCTTAGCTTAATGATGGCACTAAATTTGGGAGTGCTAATTTTAGCCTAGTGCTAAAGTTTGCAACACTTTCATTAAAATCAGCAGGAAGAGCTGAAGTACTGAACTGTGAGTACATTGTAAGTAAATTTTCAGGAACTATTGAAATAACAGAATATTGTGAAATGATGTCAACCTCAAAACTGTCTAATGGGTGCTCTTTTGCAACAGCACTAAGGTATATAATCATGAACATCGAGAAACAAGGCCATGCAGTTCTGTTGTGCTGTCACCATGAAGAGAGCAAAGCAACCTATCCCATTCGTTGGGGGCAAGTTTTCACTTACTCCAATGGATAGGATAGGTCTCTTTGCTCTTTATGATGACATCACCAGAGAGCTGTGGATGGCCTTGTTTCTCAAAGGTCCCGATTTACCTGCCATTAAGCAGATTCATTTCTGAACCCCATCTTTCAGGTGCATGGGGAACTTGTGCTGTCACACTTCTCATCTGTCCTAATAAATGTGACACGAGACAACAGCGAAATCTAAGGAGCAATGCGAGCTAATACCTCGGGATAGCCTTACTTTGATAGTTATATTGGAATAAAATATTTTGCATTACAGTTAGTTGTGTATAGCAGTTTACTCATTAAAAATTTCGTAAATGTAGTTTGGAATATATATATACACCATATTTACTTAAAAGTAAAACATTTTTGGAGGGTGGAAAGTTGTATTTGTTTTTTAAGTTTGGTAGGGTCTTATAATTGGGTATTTTAATGAAAGAACTTGCGATTGAGGGAAGATTTAAGATCTAGTAAACCACACAGATAATTAATTATGTTGTGTCGCAAATTTCAATTTCTACTTATTAATCGCTATTTATGTATTTTATTTAATTGAATATGTCATAAAGAGTGAAGTGGATATTTATATTTTAGCAGTTAAAATCTTTAGTTCTGTTTTTGTTTTTTTTTGATGGTTAGACTTTCTAATAAAAACAGTGAGCCTTTTTTTAGTCCAAAGGGGCTTTGTCCCTGAAGGACTGTTGTTTTCATTTTACAATTTTGCGTTGAATCACTATTAATAATGAATCACTTTTCAAACTGTTGCCACCAAATGTTAGATTCCTGCATTTATATTTGAAGAAATTAAATAATAAAATCTGCATAAATGTATGTATTTCTTGCATTGTGATAAAACAACGGTACATACAGCTATCAAATTTTGAATGACGTAATCCTCCTACGAATATTGGCATGTGGAAGACCAAATTTGGACTTTGCTTTATTATCGATTTCATATTTTGTGAAACTTTAACGAATTTTTGAGTAACAAACTCGGGGATTTAAAAGCGATCAATGGCAACACCGAACAGAAAAATATCTTTATATGGATATATTTTTTTTCCTGAAAATCTGTGTGGGAAGGGAGTACTGAGTGTTCCCCAACTGATCGTGAATAGCATTTACGATAACAGAGAGCTGTATAGTAGTATTTCAGCGTGCTGTAGGGTCTTTGTTTAAATTTAATTGCCATCTTTGATTAAGACACAATAACACGCCGAATAAATACTGATTCAGAAGTCAAACAACAAAAATCAGCGTTAATTCACAAAATTTTCACAGGACTAGTTTCGATGGTTTTACCGAACCATCATCTTCAGCTGCAAAACCGCAAATGAATCTTTGCTTTACGTTTCTTTGTGAGTGCTGAATGTGTTGGATAAATGTTTTTTTTTTTTTTTTTTTTTTTTTCCCCAAATGGAGGGGTGTCTGTAAATTCTCATTTTAAAGGCAGTAGTGATTTTCTTTTTGTTCTCCATTGTTAGCAGGGATCAAATTTTGTTTCTCACATGCTTGGGGTGACTCACTTGTTCAGCTGATGTCTCTGTGCAATTTTTTTTATTTCTACTCATTGAAAGGAGTGAATTAATAATAACAAAAAAAGG